TCCACACTGGATTGTGCGGTCTGTCAGGCGCGTGCCTACAGATCTTGCTGAGGCACTTACTGAGCTGCATAATCTTGTACTTACTGCTCGGAATGATGTTCTTCTGCCTATAGCTCTCCATAAGCGCCTCGTCAACCGAGCGCATAGGTGGAAGCTTCCGCAGAGCACGACGATCGTTGATCAACGCCTGGCTCCCGCTCGTGAAGGAAGTATCGCCTGGATGGCGCAGCTTGTCCTCTGGCGGGTTCCCCCGCAATGGAGCCTCTGCCCCTGACGAGGCTGCAGCTCCTGATGATGAGGGTGCTGCGGCTGCAGCGCATGGTGGGTTTCCCCGCGGTGTCTCTCGGCTGGCGCTGCTCCTAATCCTAGGCACCCAGGTACCCCGAAGCAAAGCACCCTCCTCAGACGCCTTGGAGCGCGCCGCCACTGGCGAGGCCGGCGTAGGGGTATACCCTGTACGCTCGAACGCCTTGGCCTTACCGGCGATAGAGCCACTGCGGCTAGGCTGTCGCCTGCGGATCTCCAGAGAGTCCTGAGGCTGTTGCCTGGGGTCAGGTCTCTGCGCAGGCACTGCTCGAGTCGGTGACTGCGGCACTTCGGAGAGGGGTCTCCCCATCTGCACATCGAACCCGAGCTCCTCTGAGCGGGTAGAAATTTTCTGTCTTTCACCCGAAGGCGTCCTAGGTGCACGGGTCTCGCTTTTGGCCTTCGGGATCGTTGGGGGCTTCTTCGCTTCAGCTTACTCCAGCAGCATTCGGCGAGTTGCCTCGCGGGCGCGCTCGTCTGCCACTCGCTTGCGCTCTGTTTCTGCTGCGACTCGTTGAACCTCATGTTCGTCGCCACTCGTCACCTCGTACGTTTGTGCCTGACTGGAGACACCAGGCGGGTTTCCCCGCGATCCGATACGGCGATTGAACGCATCGATGTCTTCTTGGGTCATAGGCACAAGTCCCCTCGGAGATCGAATCTCCTTAGCAGTAAAGCTACGGTGGGCCGTGGTTCCAAGACGGCGATTGATCTCATCAATCTCTTCTTGGGCCATCGGCACAAGAGGTGGATGACCCTCCTTTGCAGGAGTGCGGCCCCTGTTCGGGCTTAAGACATCATTGAGACCTACAGGACACCCAGGTCTGTGTTCCTGGAATGGCTGTGAGCACGGACCGCAGACAGCATTGGGCCTGTAGCGGCGGCGCTCCTCAATGATGGTTTTCAGCTGTTTCCGCGCTGCCTCTATCTCAGGACGTCGAATGTTCGTCGCGAGCTGATAGCCACCCCGTGTGGACCTGCCTTGGGCGCCCCTGTAAATCGGGTTGCCCTGTCCGAAGGCAGAGTGCTCACCCGTTTGGCGCCTAGGGTCGTCGCAGGCGAGCAGCTGACCCCCCCGTCGAGCGGCATGCTCTGATGGGGCTGCCTGCCTCCATTCACGTGGGAGCCGTCTTTGGGGGCGCGGATCGCCCCTGAGACGCGGATGTGAGCGAGACCTCCTGACCTGTTCATCGGATGATGCCGTTGACGTAGCCTGAACAGGAACTGGCGGGGTTCCTGAGTAGGCGTAGGCAGCGCATCCTGGGCAGGCAGGTCTCCCTGCTGACTGGAGTCTGGCACGATTGGCTCTTGTGCGGATGGTTGTGCGTCAGGACTGTCTGGGTCGAAGTCCACCTCCTCGTCTTCGCCATTGACGTCCATCATGAGGATGGTGGCCTCGTCCTCGCACATTCCACATCCGTCATCGTCTTCAACTTCTAAAGCGGGATTGCCAATGACAATGGTCATTGGTCCAGCCGGGACGGGCAGGTTCCCCTGCTGTAGAGGCGTCTGAGCACCGCTAGGCTGTCCCGGCGCCGGCGGCACGGCGGTCGGCTCAGGCTCGTTGCCGAGCACGGAGTGCATCTCAAGCTGATCATAGTCATAAGAGGGCTGCCCGAAGACGTTTCGCATGGCTGCATGATTGGGCTGCAGCCCCACCGCCTGGAGACCCCATCCCGGCGGGGGAAGCGCCTGCCCACGCATTGTGATGGCCCTTTCAAGGGCTTGGCGCCAACGCCCCCTTGCATACCATATGTGTCGCTGCACGTCATCAAGAAGCACGCTGTCGATGAGTGTGAGAGCCGCCAGCAGCAACTCCGAGTCGTCACAGACATCGGAGTCTTGCAGCATCATGTGGCCGCTCTCGACGCTCTGCTGACTATCGAGATACCCTTCAGCTTGTACGGCGCGCATCTGCATGAGAGTCTGCAGCACCGTGCATGGTCCGCACTCGCCCAGCGCGAGCATGCCAGGTGGCTCGCGAGGATTGCCTGGCACGCCCACGGTAAAGGCTTAAGCCTCCAATTCCATCAGTTCGCAGTAATTTGGCGGATACACTGGAGTGGGCCTGTTCCCAGGCAAGAGGTCGGATTGCTGTCGAAGGTTGTGCTCGACCTCCGAAGGTGAGGCCTCAACAGTGACGTCCTCGTCGCTGCTGTCGTAGGCCGTGATGTTACCTGGATTTCCGAACATCCAATCGAAGAAGGAAAGGGGCTGGTTTCCCAGCGTTCCGTTCTCCACAGGCGCGAGCTCGATGGCTCCGAAGACGAACCTGCGGAGGTACTCGAGGTAGCACGCATAAAGCCCGTGGCCGTACGCCTCGATCTCGTCCAGGTTGTCCATGTTACTGACCCAAGTGTAAAAGATCTGTTCCACAGCCTCGAAGTCTTGGAGGCTCAGATACTCAATAGCAGGTTCACTTGAGCCTAGATGGACTTCGGACGATCTACCCTTTCCATTCCCTTTCACATGACAATCCTTTACAAGGTGTTCGGTACTATCACATTCATGACACTGCAAGATCTGGCCGCCTCTACCTCGCGGGTTCCCCCGCCTACCCTTGCCTTTGCCCGAGGTTCCCCCACTGCCTTTTCCACGGCCTTTTCCCCCGAAGAATATCTCAGCATACTGATCCTCTGAAAGCCTCTGGAGGAGAGCCGTGACGCCTCGTCCGTTCAACCTTCGGCGACCCCGTTTGGCTTTACCTGTTCCTTTGAAGCTCCTCCGTAGCCTCCTCCTAACACGACGCACTGGTGTTCGTGTAAACCTCCTCCACCTACGCTTTGCTTGTTGTAACAACCAAAATAGATGCTCGGCACGTTGATTATCGCCTTCCATTTGCATGATATCTGACCTGTCTAGTGGTTCGATACCATCTGATGATATCGCGTCGGCGTCGGTGCCTGAATCGAAGTCGTCGTTACCTAAGTAGGTGGCTACACCGTCGCTTAGGGGATTCGCTTCTCCCCATAGGGAGCGGCGAGGCTGAGGTTCTCCAGGAGGAGGGCTGGTTGCCCAGCCTGGTTGTGATCGACGCCCTGCTAGTAGGGCAGTAGATTATCCTGGATCGTCGGCCCATACGTTTGAGGGCCCGCTGCCAGGCTGAGCTTCAGTGGTTAAGGTAGTATAGAAAGTTCCACTGCCAGTTCCCCTTCCCCTTCCAAACACTGATCCTATGTTACCAGGGGACCGTTCTGACACATGGCCTATCGAGCGCATCCTCTCACGCAGTTCTTCATACTGTTGTTGTGTTAGGGGCATTTGATGGTTGAGTGGTTGTAAGAGTTGCATGGCTCGCTGGCTGCCAACCCCTAGGGCGCGGAATAGGATGGTCGTAAGCAGTTGGAAGTTAGGAAGGTCAAAACCCACCGACTGTGCCTCAAGACGGGCCATTTCGAACCGAGCAAGGGTTACATCGATTCGTTCTCCGTGCGGCACATGAAAGTCGATGAGCTGAGTGCCTGAGGTGAGCTGACGCTCATCTTCCAGGCGTTCGAACTTCATGCTCAGGAGAAACATAATATATGTTACTGGGTCGGTGGGTCGGTGTGGACACCATCGATGTCCGCACCATAGTTTATGATGTCAGGTGGTACCCTCATGGCGAGTGTCCTCGCGAGGCCGTCCAGGCCGCGTTGTATAGCGGCTGCTTGGGTTTGTGGCGTCATGCGTCCACTCGTGACGTTAAGCCACGCGTTGACCTCGTAGACGTACTCGCGAGAGGGTACGTTGCCTTGAGGGTCCCAGTATGGGCCATGTGTTTGCCCATCGGTGCTATTATCTCCTCGGCGCATGTGTCCGATTGCCGCCCCCAGCGCAAACCATATGATGGCGAAGATAACCAACCCTAGGATGTGGAGGTGTGGGTGGTTATCGGGCGCGTTGCCGCGCTGGGGTAGGGCTTGTAGCGCCTTGTCAAGTCTACGAGGCGCTTTATCTTGCGGGTCTCCCCGCCTCCGCTTCAAGTACAGCGCTTTGGGCTCGTTGCCGAGCGGTTGGTGGTAGCGTAGTGATGAAGCGTATATGGTACCAATGTTGTTGTCTAGACGTCGTACCTCTCGTGTTGCTTCTTGCTCTTGAATTGATCCTCGTAAATGTCGGTGGGGTGGTGGCGCAGGGTAGAGATTGGTCACGAGGATCGTGCCTGGTAGCGTGAGGATAAGAAGAGCAAGAGCTGACCACACGAGAGTGCGGCCAGCTCCGCTACCAAGTCTGAAATGACTCTGGTAGGTCATATTGCATCCAATTCCATGTCGAAGGAATACGATATGGGGTGTGGATGAGTAAGATAGGATAAGATCGATGTAATGAACTTTCCAGCACATAGCGAATACCAAGGCAGGTATCCGGGCAAATAGGGCGCGCGTGCCTTGAGCCATAAGGCAGCGACGCGCAGGCTATACTCCCGATTATCTACAACATCTCCCAAAGAGCTACCCTTAAAGTCTTCGATCCTCGACCCGCTGCCCCCCTCATCCTCCGCCCGCGATCCTCAGTCCTCCCTCCTCGATCCTCGATGCCCTGCCCCCCTCATCCTCCATCCTCGATCCTCTGTCCTTCCTCCTCCTCCTCCTCCTCCTCCTCCTCATCCTCCTCCTCCTCCTCCTCCTCCTCCTCCTCCTCCTCCTCCTCCTCCTCCTCCTCGTCGCCCCGTCCACCGAGAGATCAGCGAAGAAGGCGGCGGCCGCGGAGTC